CAGTTCGTCAACTGCGGCAATAATGATGCTTATGCTAATGCTAGTGCCCAATAAGAAGCAATCTTCCCTAATAAACCTGCATCTATATATATTCATCCCTACTGCAAACATGATCCATCTAGCTGTTTCATTTGAACCCTCTTAATTATAGTCTTAATTACTGAAATAAATTAAAAGAAGGGATTAATGCATCATCAACCTCATCTCTCTCTCTCTCTCTCTCTCTCATGAAGATGATGGCATGTGGGATGGAATTGGTTTTCTCTTCTTTGACTTTTGGCTTGAATACTATAGAGTTAGAATTAAACCATCCAATCAATTGCTTACAGGTAAAAAAAGTCCAACCATCCAATACATTCATCAGGATTCACAATTGGATATTTTTTTAGCCAAGAAGAAGATGGTTCTCAGGATGGGCTTAACAGTAAGCATTAATTCCATTAATGTAATTCGCCATGTATGGATGAATAGTACTCATTCCTGCCTCTCATTTTGTGCTTTTTGAATGGAAGCAATGGAAGTCGGATGAACGAAAATTAAAGAGCAATAACTGTCTCATTCATTCTATTGGTTCTCAAAAGCAATGTCTCAAACATGAGAAGGAAATAGAAACAAGGAGGCTTGACTACTGTTTTCATTTTTTTTTGAGACTTTGGCTATCAGACTGGATAAGTAGATGTTCTCGTTAATTATCACTGGATGTATCTGGGTCAATTGCCTAAATAATTAATCTATTTTGTGGACCATGGCTTATCTTATCTTGTTATATTGAGTCACTTGAAAGAGAGCGGATGATTAACTGAACTAGATGGCTGAGACCGCATCTACTCCCAACAAAAAATCACTTCAACATGATCTGGTACCACACATCTCACTAAAAGATCACGGCCTATCATGTTTGAGATGGGTCTGGGTTCCATCCCCATAAAAACTCTGCATGCACCCTGAAACATTGTTTCCGATGTGCGGATGGATGCCAAAACTCTCGGGATGCGTACAAGGTTTTTGTGGGGAGGAGATCATGTATCATTTGAAATGTGCAGTGTCATATCATGTTGGAACGTGAAGCAGTTTTTGATGGGAGTAGATGGCTGTGTTTGTAGCTGTGGGTCCGATAATAACTTCCCGTGCCGTGCCAGCCATAAATGCAAAGTGAGAGATTGAATAATTATGACGATATGCATTTTATTGGCTTGCATGAGGCATTATGATTGGTCCCACATCCATGACACAGCCATCAAGTTCAGCCAATTCACAATTACACAAAGTGACAGATCTTGTTCACTTAATTTTAGGTTCAGTTTGGAAGTAGTACAAATGCAAATATAAGATTTTTTACTCTACATATTTGCATTTGTATTCCTTCTAAACTCAGCCTTACAAGAAAAATAATTTAAGGTGGCGGTGGTATGACGACCTAGATTAGAACCACCACTGGCTTAGGCCTTTAGACCACCGCTTCAGAGGTAAACCGGCAGTTAGACCTGTTCATGGGCCAGGTGGCCCGATGGGTCGGCCTGGCCTGGCCYGGCCCGACCTTCGGATGGGTTTGAACAGGCTTTTTGGCCCGTAGGCTTAACCTCGGGCCAAAAAGCTCGGTCCGTATAAAATTCGAGCCGGGCTCGGACTTTGTCAAAATAGCCCGGCCCGGCTCAACCTATAGTTAAACCTAAGTAAAAAACCCTATGTGATGTCCATTTGAATAAATTTTTTGATTTGAGAATGTTGTTGATTCACTTGTAGGCCCATTGTTCATTTAAATATGGGAAAAAAACATCTAAATTAAAATAGAAAATGTCCATTTGAATAGGGAAAATTTTGAATTTCTTTTATTAGGTCGGGCTTCGAGCTCGGACTCAGGCTCRGGCTTCGGGCTTTTTATCAGGGCTGGGCTCGGGCCCAAGTTGTAGGCCCGTTGGTCGGACCGGGCTCGAGCTCGGGCTCAGGCCTAACATTTTTCTATTAATAAAGAGTCAAAGCCTGGCCCGGCCCGGCCCATGAATAAATCTACCGACAGTCATGAGTTCACCCCCTAAACCGCTGCCAGCCTAGATTAGGACCATCGACTTAGATAGAAAAGACTTGCCTTTGAGGACTGGTCCAAGGCGGTTCTATCATCCCTAAAGCGGCGGTATATCAGAACCACCAGCTTAGAATTAATGAAGGTGGCGGTCTAAACCATTGGGTAAATATCTTTGGATCGCCACCTTAGGTTAATTGGGATGTTACTTCCATTTTTAGGTGGCAGTCTGAACTAGCGGCTTAGACCTCTTTAGACCCCTGCCTTATATCCTTTGGACTGCCGTGTTAGGTGCTTTTTATGTCTAAGGTGGCAGTCATACATCCACCGATTTTGCTTTTTTTTTTTATTTATATCAAGTTGATTTCAACATTTTTTACCTATTAAATACAAATCTCGTGGCAATTAATATATAAAAATCAATTTAAATAAAAAAAATGAAATTTAAAAATAAAATCTTTAAATTGAATTATTAATTATTATAACATCCAAAACAAATTGCTTAAATATAATATCCAATTGACATATAAAAAGTATAGGGAATTTAAAAAAATCAACTTCTTGAATAACGTAACACATCTTCCAATGCAAATCCACTTAACATAATGGTTGAACTTGCAAATAATAACATATAAATTGTTAGAGAATGTAAAGTAAATGAGATATCAAATGCGGTTCTAATCATATTGGAATAGCATCTGGGTTTTGCACTCAAGGCTCAGTTTAGGAGTACAAATATAGTTATGTATAGTGCAAAACCTTATATTTTTATAAATTTGTATTGTACACATGGAAACAATACAAATAATATAGTTTTCAAAATTTGAGTATGTCAATTAAAGTTTTATTTTATTTTTCTAATTGGTTATTAATTTCTATTTAGGCTTTGACAATTTTCTACCTGCCAAGTTTTTATCCTAACTCCATATAAAGCATTTTGCACATTAATGTTTTCTACAATGATACCGGATACACATGACATGCTTTATCTTTCCCTAGCCCTTCTAAGCTGTAAAGAGAGTGAAAATGACAGTAATAGACAAGATTATTAATATATAATCAGATATATTTCACCTCATTAATTTAAGAAAAATGAAAATGAAATTCAGTTGTATATCTGGGTCCATTTGGTTCGCAGTCATAATCAGAATCGGAATTAGAATGGTTTATTACCATAGTCTATTTGGTTCAAGACAAGAATGGAAATGGGAATTAGAATTAGTAGGAATGGAATTTCATTCCCAAGGGACAAGGGAAGGGTAGGGAATGGTCATTCCTTCAAATGGGAAAATGCCATTCTAGCAAGAATGGGAATGAGATTCCGATTCCACTCAACCATACATTTGGAACCAGAATAGCCCATTTTGATTCTGATTCCAGACCCTTATTTCCCAAACCAAATGGTCTAGTTATGGTCTTCATAAAGGTATGTATGCACAGGATCAGAGCCTATATGACCAAGTAGTCAATCCCCATTGCCCCCATTATAATTAATTAAATTTTATCAGCACAAGGTATGAGTGGGCTTGTGCTTGTCCATGCTTAAATTCCGATGTATTTTTTGTGTGAGGGGGTGTATTAGAGAATAAAAACCTATTTAGGACCTCACATAACAACTTAAGCTTTTTGGTTGGATGGTTCCTTCACAGTATGTATGTAACTTATTACCTAATACCATGTCCAGGGCACAGTTGATGTGGTGAATATAAACATTGGAACACCCAGTTTGTATGGATACACAATCATCTCCTGTAAAAATATAAATTGGTGCATAGTTAAGAAAAAAACCTAAGCAAATTTCTAAGCTTTCATTATGGATCTCTAGACATGCATTTTATTCATCAAAATTGGTCACTGAATGTGCTTATTATGTTGTGCCTATTGGATCCGATCCCTTTATTTTCTTATGAAAAACAGCTCGACTACAAGGACAGATAGCAGGTTGCCATGTGAGGTCCTCATAATTTGCTAAGTGGCATGAATAAGAACAAACCACATAAATGAGTACGTCATTGTAAGTATGTTAAATGAATACTTTCAATTTTTTTTTGACACCTGTCCCTTCAAATACTTCCAACCTACCATTGAAAAAGATTGAAGACAACTTTTATCAAATAAAGTACTCACTGAATGTGTTTCCTAACGGATGCCAAAAAAATGAAAAATCATGATGAAATAAAATTAAAAGAGGTGATACCTCAGAAGAAAGAGAGAGATGGCAAAGTAAGAGGAGTTTGGAGTTTCAGAAAATATCCTTCTAATTTTAAATACTTATTCACACAAGAAATGGTTGACAGTCAATTGTTTAGGCAATMGGACATGGATCCGGATACATTCAGTGACAACCTGAATATCTACTCATCCAGAGATACCCAACTACCCAAGAGTCTAAAATTGAAAACAACTGGGACAGGCCTCAAAGACAAAATCACGGGCTCAATATCTTTATTGTTTCTACTTGCTTTCCATGTAGGAGATATTGCTTTGGAGAACCAATAGTAGGAATTAATGAAATAGAATTAATTCTGATGAGCATGCATGGATCAATGACATAGTGATAACTTGTTAATTATATGATATGACGTCCTTCAATTTCTTTCATCCTACTGCCATTGCTTCCATTTAGAAACTGATCACAAAAATTAAACAAAGGAACAAGATTCATGAAGCCGGTTGAGATAAGGCTTGGATGATAATGATAATTGCTTAGTTACTGTAATTAAGCCCGTTTTGGTCCCTACCATCCAATTTTAATTGATGAATGCATCGGATGGCTTAAATGCTATGAACTTGCTAATCAAAATGATGGCCGGCCGGACTCTTTTTCTTCTTTTTATCTGTAAGCAATTGATTATTATTTTTTTTTCCAAAGTCTAAAGTAATCAATCCAAAAGTCAAAGAAAAGGGAATCAACGTCATCCCACTTATTATCTTCATGATTTTTGGCTTATCTTAATTAATGAGAGAGAGAGAGAGTAAATGTATGCACACATCAGATTGATCCACTCTTTTATTTCAGTAAGGGGGAGGGGTTCAAATCATACAGATTTGCAGATTTGCAGTAAGGATCAAATACATACATACATATAAATATATAGATGCAATTTTATTACATGGAAGAGTGTGGCCTCATTCATCAGTAGCATAATAACCATCGCCGCAGTTGACGAACTGGTAATTCACAGTGAGGTGGCCGGCGTTGTAGCCGCTGCCATCGGTGTCAATTTGCTGGAACACACCCCAGTCCAAGTCCAAACCACCATTGCCACACTGATCCACGATCCTCACTGTTACCCGAGCGCCTGTTCTCACGTTTGTGACCTGCATCCATCCATCCATCCATTCATCCTAATTAAGTTTAATTGTTTAGATGCATGCAGAATATATAATTAATGTTAAATGGGACTTACCAGCAAGCACTTGCCACAGGCGGCCTGGCCTCTGGGACCGACGGGGCCGCAGAAGGCAGTCCACCCATATTTGCTTCGCCATGAGAAGGGCTTGTTGGCATCCCATGTGGAACAGTAGGCGCTAACTGCGTTCAGGTCCCAGCCGTTCTGCTGGGGGTTGTAGTAGTGGTACGATGCATACACGTTGTTTGCGCTCTGGGCGCTCACACTCACACCACCCGTCAGGCAGCACAATAGCAGCATGACTAACCCAGTTCTCATATTTGAACTCCCCATTTTCATTTTTTTTCTTCGATCCACCTCCATAAAATGGTTTTGGAAAGCTCTGATTTATCTATATATAAATATATAGATCTAGAGAGAGAGAGCACTGGAGGGCGGAGGCCTAAATCAAATGTACTTACACAAGGAAACATTTTTTATTTGAGGATGGGTGGGGTGGGACCTGGCTGGATGAGTTGCGTGTTTGGGTGAATCTTTTAGCTTCACAGGTTCACATGACGACATGGATGATGTGGCCATGTTTTCCACTGGTCAAGCTCAAAAGCTCCTTATCTGTTAAGGGTCGTTTGGTGATGAATAAACTTTTTTTTTTTTTTTGCTAAGTAAGAAGTACATACTATGAAGGAAGTTTCTGACGGGCAATATAATTTAGGGCCCACAAGGTCTATTGCCAAAGGCAGATTTCAGCATAGAGCCGCTTGGCACATAGCAAAAGCCAGAGCAAAAACTCTTATAGGTATGTACTTAATTGGTTTGAAAACCATTATATAAGAGGTGAGGCTTGAATTCAGGCTGAATTTTGATTAGGACATGTTTGGTTTACCAGATAATATGAGAGAAACAAAATGTTGAGGGGAAGTTCAAGAAACTTCATAAAACTTCTTGGGAACTTTCTTTTACTTTCTCTTTCTCTCTTATTTTCTGGTAAACCAAACAAGCCTAAAAATTAAATTTAATATGTAATTGGATAACCTACTTTATCTAGAAGAATGAGACTCACACTAATACAACATCTAGAAGCTGCGTTTTTATATTTGAGTTGGGAAACTGAAACAAAATTCGATCTGTTGTTGTATTTTCTTTTGGGTAAAGGGATTTGATTTGTTTTTGAAAAATATGAACTTTCTTACTTGAATTATCAATTTTTTATTTTATGTTTTTTTTTCAATTAAAATGTACACAACCTTCTTCTCAGTGGAAGATCGTCCACCCGTTTAAAATAAGAGCCCTCGTTTCTGAAATGATCAAAATGAATGAAAGGACAATCTAGCTAAAGGAGGTTTAAGAGAGGTCGTCTAGGGGCAAGATCAACTATATATTTCATAAGAATGATATTAGGCTCCGCTTGGTTCATGGGAATTGGGGTCTGAAATTGGAATCAGCTGAACCAATTGTTTGGTTGAGTGGAATTGAAATCCCATTTTCAATATTCCTGCTGGAATGACATTCTTCCATTTGAGGGAATGATCATTCTCTGCCCTTCTCTTGGGAATTAAATCCCATTCTTTTTTATTCCAATTATCATTCCCATTCCTGTCTGAACCAAACAGACTATGGGAATAGACCATTCTGATTCCGATTCTAACTGTGAACCAAACGGACCCTTAGTTTATACAGGCAAAATTAAAGAAGGGTCAAAGGTGACTCTCATAATCCGTTTCTATAAAAAACTGGATCGATTGGCCAATTAAATGAAAATCACCTGAACCAACCAGTTGTGAGGTTGAACCAACTGGTTTAAAGTGGTGCACCAGAATGGGCCTCTTTTTGGGGTATGTAAAACAGTCCTCAGAATAAGTTAAATAATTAGGGTCATTAACTTCTTTTTTTTTTCTTTCACCAGTGGAAGTGTTTAGCTCAGAAAGTTTCAGGACCTTGGGTGTGTATAGGAGACATAAATTTAAACTTTACTAAGGATGACAAGATTGGTGGAAAGCAGATCGGCAATTCAGTTCTTGCAAGAAATAGAAAATCTCTCAGGAAAATTGGATGCAAAATTCTGATCAGTCATGGCTGGAAGTTCACTTGGAATAACAAGAGGGAGGGTCAAGACAATGTAAGAGAGGATAGATATAACTGTAACAAATGAGGATTGGCTCAATCTATTCCAAGAATCCAGGGGGTCTTGCATCTGTTGTTGAGTGGCTCTGATCATATCCCTATTGTTATGGACACCTCTCCAGAGCAAAAGAAGTTGAGAAGGCCTTTCAGGTTTGAAAATATTTGGTCTACCCATGAAGATTGCTCAAAGATGATTAAGGAAATGTGGAGTTCAACCAGTGAAAGCAATTCCTAAGATTCCATAAAAAAGAAGTGTAGAAATCTGAAAGTTGAATTAAGAAAATGGAATAAGAAAGTATTTTGGGAAGGTATAAGATAAAATAAAATCTTTGCAAGAGGAGATAAGCCTAGAGAGAAGTGCTCCAGAATGTTCTTTTCAGCAGCAAAGTTAATAAGGGTGTGTTTGGTTCGTGGACAGGACCGGAATTGAAACCACCTATTCCTGACATCTGTTTGGTTTAGTCAGAAATCAGAATCAGATTCCGATTGTCACTGTTTGGTTCAACTAGAAGTTGGAATTGAAATCAGCCAAAGTTTTCAATTTTCCCCTGTTAAAAGAACATCAAAAACATCTAATTATATATTTTCAACTTATACACACATTAGCAACCTGCTACCAAGTGCAGGAGAAAATATGAAAAAAAAAAGAAAAACACATAAACAAACAAAAATCACAAAAACACTACGTGTATATCAAATAGTAGAAAATAAAACTAGGTGGCTCAATCCCATTACTTGATTTTGCCCCCAAGTTGAGTCTTGTCGCCTTATTTGTCTGAGTTAATTGACCTAACCCATGAAGAACTAAATTCTTCCTTCTAGTTGGCAATTCATCAAACAACCACAATTCAGCCATGRTTGGAGGTGCCAAGTGGCAAAATATGTTAATGTTACTAGCTTCCCTGGCGTGGGTTGGTTGGTGGCAATTCATCAAACAACCACAATTCAGCCATCATAGCTTTAGTCGATTCCTTGGTGGTACAATAGCATACATTAAAAATATTCCTAGAGTAACAAATTGTTAAAAGTATTGTTAGTTTATTTAATTTTGCGTTTAGTTGAATAATCCCTGAGTTTTAAGGAATTAGTTAGAGTTTGAAAGAGTCTTTTCTRTTGAGCATTATCTTAGGAAAATCCCATGATCGTAGTGTTTGTTATTCATGTGAGGCTATTTAAAGCCAATTCTATTATTCAATAAAGATTTCCCTTCCATTTGATATAATTGCAGAATATTCAACATATGGTATCAGAGCTCCTCACTAGGGCTTGAATACTCAACAAAGCAGTAGCTTTCTGACTTGCAACAGCAAGAGTCAATGGTAGGAGAAGGAAATAATTTTGTGCAACTAGCTATTCCACATTTCGACGGACACTATGATCATTGGTTCATTCTCATGGAAAATTTCTTGCACTCTAAAGAATACTGGAACCTGGTAGAGAATAGGATCACAAAATATCCTGAAGGAACTGTTCTAAGTGATGCTCAAAACAAAGTTCTGGAAGATCAAAAACTGAAGGACTTGAAGCCAAGAATTACCTCTTCCAAGCCATAGATCGAGCCATTTTGGAGACAATCTTGAAAAAGGATACTGCAAAAGACATATGGGATTCGATGAAAAAGAAGTATCAAGGCACAACTAGAGTCAAACATACACAGTTGCAGGCTCTTCGTAAAGAGTTTGGGATGCTTCACATGAAGGTGGGAGAATCAGTTAATGACTACTTTGCAAGAGTGCTTACAGTAGTCAACAAGATGAGAATCCATGGAGAAAATATGGATGATGTCATAGTAATTGAAAAGATTCTGAGATCTATGACACCTAAATTTGATTATGTGGTTTGTTCCATTGAGGAATCTAATGAGATAGATTACCTTTCCATTGATGAATTGCAAAGCAACCTGTTTGTGCATGAGCAAAGAATTATTGGTCATGTAATGGAGGAACAAGTGCTGAAAGTGAGTCAAGAAAACAACTCACCTAGTAGAGGAAGAGGTCGTGGAAGCTATAGAGGTCGTGGTAGAGGAAGAGGAAGAGGGAGACAAGGCTCATTTGATAAGTCTACTGTTGAGTGTTACCATTGCCATGAAATTGGGCATTTTCAGTATGAGTGCCCTAACAAAGAGCAAGGTAACATAGCAAATTTTGCTGAAGCTAAAGAAGAAATGTTGCTTATGGCTTATGTGACTATGCAAGAAGATACCGTTGACAAGCTGTGATATCTTGATTCTGGATGTAGTAACCACATGAGTGGAGACAAGGAGCTTTTTGCAAAACTTGATGAAAGCTTCAGAGAGAATGTAAAGCTGGGAAACAACTCTAGCATGTGTGTCAAAGGGAAAGGAGACATCAACATTAAAGTAAATGGGGTGGATTGAAGAGCAATCTGATAATTATTGGTCAATTACAAGAAAAGGGATTTGCAATTCATATTCAAAAGAATGTGTGTCAAATACATCATTCTGAGAAAGGTTTGTTGTTACAAGCTGAGATGACTCCAAACAGAATGTTTGCATTGCAAACAAATGCCTCATCTTGTGATCCTAAGTGCTTCAAATCTACTACTCAAGAGGATGCAAGCTGGCTGTGGCATTATAGGTATGGACATCTAAGTTTCAATGGTTTGAAAACTTTGCAACAGAAGCAAATGATTACTGGATTACCAATGCTGCAAGCTCCCTAAAAAATTTGTGAAGAATGCATGATTGGGAAGCAACACCGTGAGTCATTTCCTCAACAAAGCATCTAGAAATCATCACAARTTCTTCAACTAGTTCACTCAGACATATGTGGACCTATTAATCCTATCTCCAACAGTGGCAAGAGGTACTTTTTGACTCTTACTGATGATTTTAGTAGGAAGACTTAGGTGTATTTCTTATTCGAAAAATCTGAGGCTCTAACTGTTTTCAAGAAGATTAAAATTATGGTTAAGAAAGAAGCAGGGGTACTTAATAAAGCATTCCATAGTGATCGCGGAGGAGAATTAACTTCACATGAATTCACTACCTTTTGTGAAGAAAATGGTGTACGTAGACAGTTAACAACAGCCTACACTCCACAACAAAATGGGATTTCAGAAAGGAAAAATCGTACCATTATGAATATGGTATGCTGTATGCTCACAAGAACAAAGGTGCCTAAGACCTTTTGGCCTGAAGCTGTGTGTTGGAGTGTTCATATCTTGAATAGATGTCCAACATTTGCTGTGAAAGATATGACTCCAGAAGAAGCTTGGAGTGGGAACAAACCAGGAGTTGC